AAACTGCAGCTCCTCCAAACATAAACACAAAACCAGATGTTGATTTTAGTGTGTCTTGACATCCCGCAAAGTCTGCATCAGTGAATCCTTGTAATTCCAAGTTCTCACTTCTCCTAAATACCAGCTTGTAATCCTTTGTTCTTTGTAGGTATCTCATAACTTTCTTCCCTGCAACCCAATGCGCTTGTCCAGGATTAGACTGAAACCTTCCTAACATGCTGACTGCAAAAGCCAGATCAGGTCTTGTACAGACCTGCGCATACATTAGGCTCCCTACTAGTGAAGCATAAGGTTTGTCAGCCATTTCCAGCTTTTCTTGTTCAGTTTTAGGTGCCTGCTCAGTGCTTAATTTATCACCTCTTGCGATGGGAACATCACTGCCTGCACAATCCTGCATATTGAACCTTTTGAGCACTTTCTCTATGTAAGATTTCTGTGATAGTCCAAGTAAACCTTTCTCTCGATTTCTGCTTATATCTATGCCCAAAACATAGCTTGCTTCTGCCATATCAGTCATTTCAAAGTGTTTGAACAGAAAACTTTTACAATCATGCAGCATAGTGAGGTTTGTGCAAGCCAATAAAATGTCATCTACATATAGAACCAAAATAATAAATTGTCTCCCACTGATCTTCATGTATATACACTCATCCAATGCGTTTTCTGTGAATCCATATGCTTTTACTACCTTGTTAAATTTCAAATACCATTGCCTTGATGCTTGCTTTAATCCATAAATTGATTTGCACAATTTGCAAACCAAATTCTTCTCCTTTTCTTGAATGAAGCCTTCAGGTTGCATCATATAAATCTCTTCTTCAAGGTCTCCATTTAAGAATGCAGTCTTAACATCCATCTGATGCAAATGTAAATCAAATTGTGCCACAAGAGCCATGATTATTCTCAATGAATCTTTGGTTGAGACTGGTGAAAAGGTCTCATTATAGTCGATTCCTTCCTTTTGTGTGAAGCCTTTGGCAACCAATCTTGCCTTGTATCTATCCACCTGCCCTTTTGAGTTTCTCTTTGTCTTAAATACCCATTTACAACCTATTGGTTTGCAACCTTGAGGTAAGGTTACAAGCTTCCAAACTTCATTCTTTTCCATTGAATTCAACTCTGATTTCATGGCTGCCCACCAGTTTTCACTCTTTTCACTCATCATGGCTTGTTTGAATGTCATGGGATCTTCTGTTCTATTTATGTCATGTTCAGCTCCTTGCAGGTACACAAAATAATCATCTGTCAATGCTGGCCTTCTTACTCTATGTGATCTTCTTAATTCTGTGTTCTGCTGCATTTCTGCATCTTCATTTATTTGAGTTATGTTCTGATTTTCTGCTGGCTGTGTCAAATTATTTTCTATCTGCATTGGTTCTGCATTTTCAGTTTGATCTGTGACTGTGTCCTCAATATGATCCGGTTGTAAGTTGTCTAGATTTGTTTGAGGCAATCTAACAGCTTCTGCAGAATTCTGTGCTATCAAAC